ATTTTGGAGGTGATCGGCCCCTCCCATAGGAAACAAAAGAGGAGCGAACAGGGAGTGGGATTTTGCAGGAAACAATTCGTTCCTTCAGTCGTTTCAAGAGTGGAAAGTTCTACTTGTGATTATAAGAGACTCTGTGCCAAGCGTTGCCTTGCCCTGTGTTTAGAAACTAGTTATCTGGCAGCTCACCTAGCAAGATGAGGTTCATGTGGATAAACATTCCTCTGAAAGATTGTTTTACTAAGCCTTGCGGACTGTGAATGAAAGGAATTCACGGTCATGTAAATAAAAAGGGGTTTTGTCGTGATCAAGACTTTGCTTCCTGCTTTCCAAAGAAGCCTGGGTTGGAACAGTATGTAGTGGATGCCCCTGATTGAAACTGGGAGGGCATGATGTTTTTTTAGAAAAGAAACTCAAACCAGATTGTTGGACGTGGGGATTGGTTCTGGTTCTGGGACAATTTTTCATCTCTCTCACTGCAATACCACAATCACACACTCCTCTGCAATAGGAAAAAAAACCCAGTCTCGACGATCGTGGGGTTCAGCACCATTTATTAAGAAAAAGAAGTACAAGAACAGTCAAAGGAAGGAGGATAGGAGAAGCAGAGAGAGAGTTTGTAGGCTGGCCGCTCCAATCCTGGACACAAGAGGGGCTGCACCAAAATGCCCAGGGCAGCCAGGCCAACATGAGAAGTGTGGGGTGCCCTGGCTGAAGTAGAACCAGGCATCCCCCCCCAAGGCAAAAGCAGTTTGCTGGCCCCAGTGCGGGGGGGGGGGAGCGGCTGGCAGGAGAGGACAAGGATGTCAGCAGTCAGCAATGCCAGCGATCAGCAATCTCCTGTCCGAGCAACAGAAGTTTCTTTGGACCTGGCTAGTTAGGCAAAGCTCCTTTTGTCCTTGGAAAGCGGTAAAAAAAAACCCTTCTGATTCTGACTGACCCATAGCAGGGACAGGACTTTCTGGATTGTGGGGCTTCTCTGCTCTCTGCCTCCCAAGAAACAGCCTCGTTTCCAGAAGATTTGCTGTGAGAAATAACACTCAGCAGGCAACGGAGGGCGGGTGAGAGGAGATTGGGCTGGGAGATAGCCTGTGCATCCATTAGGAGACGCCCCTCCTCCCCAATAAGGCACTGAAGCAACACAAAGGCGGTGGGAAAGACACCTCCCAGGGTGCAGCAGGGTTGCTCCTTCCACGGGGCGAGACCCAGGATTCCTAGGCATGATCCAGGGGTTAAAGCAGCTGGCCCTAGAGGACCCACAGGCATAGGGCGAAGTCGGGTGGGGCACCTCTCAGAAGCACTGCAGCTGTGCAGGGCAACGAGGCAGAGAAGGGACTTCAAAAGGATCCGTCTCCTACATGGCATTTGCTGGGCATGGGGATGTGCCGAGACCACCTTCCCAGGATCCTCTCGCTGCCCCAGGGAGGGCGAGGGGCAGGATCTTTGGTGAGTCACAGCCAGCCGGCCCAGCAGAGTAGCCGTCGGGGCGCCCGGTTCACTTGCCAAACTCTGGGAAGCCGGCCTGGTTCGGGCCTCCTTTGGCAGCTTCCGGCACAGCATGGCAGGGCTCCCTGGTCCTTCAAGAAGGCGTGTGGCTCCTTTCCTGCCGTCCCAGGACGAGGACGCCATCAGCCAATTCCCTCCCCCCTTCCTCTTTTTTTGGCAGCAGCAAAAGCACCGTTTGTGTGTTTCTTCTTTTTAAAAAATTTGTAATAATAATAATATTAATAAAATAATGATAATCAGCGTAGATGTCTCTCCTTTGGCCCGGCGATGGCAACGAAGAGCAAGAGGGTGGAAGGTGGGTGGGTGGGCCTCCCCTATGAGGGGCACTCCTGAATGTTCAGGGCCATTTCCGCTTGATGTTGCAGATCTACTGGCTGACGGGGCTCCTGGCCTGGCCGGGCATTGACCATTACCACATTTTTGAGGCAGCCTGTGATTCCTGAGGCGTATTTCCCAGCCGTGAGCGTCTGGATGTTGGGGGCGCCTCCTGAACAGAGAAAGACAATGGTCTCAGCAAAGGAAGTGATTGTCCAGTCTCAAGGAAGTCTGGGGGAAAGGGCAACCCAGAAGACCCACTCTTTCGCTCAATCCTATTAGCCTGGGATATTGAACCCCTTGGTAGTTCTCTCTGGACAGCAAGTGAGGAGGTTGGTGCCACTTTCAAATGGGCCTCCTGTGACCCCCTGAAGAGGCTTGGTGGGAAAAGATCTCCAAATGACCCTCCTGCAGCCACAGAACAGTGGACATAAATAAGCTGTAAAGGTAAATGTTCCCCTCACACGTATGCGTTAGTCGTTCCTGACTCTAGGGGGCTCATCAATATTTCAAAGCTAAAGAGCCAGCGTTGTCCGAAGACATCTCCGTGGGCATGTGGCCGGCATGACTAAATGCTGAAGGTACACAAAATGCTGTTCCCTTCCCACCAAAAGTGGTTCCTGTTTTTCTACTTGCAGTTTTATGCGTTTTTGAACGGTTAGGTTGGCAGAAGCTAAGACAAGTAACGGGAGCTCAGTCCGTTACGCGGTGCTAGGGATTCGAACCGCTGACCTGCCAACCTTTCTGATCGACAAGCTCAGAATCTTAGCCACTGAGCCACCACCTCCCTATATAAGTAGCTGACATCTGCATAAAATAGCAAGCAGCCTCTTTCTCCAATCAGAGGTCAATGGACGCAAGGCGAACACTGGACAGAGAGTACCCACTGGAGCAGAAAAAGGTGTCAGAAGGTAGAACAAGCCAGCTCTTTTGGAATTGCACGATCCAGAAGACATCCGGACTGCTTTCCAGGGCCCCAACCACTCACCTATATAGATCCGGCCTTTGGTGTTGACCATGACATTCCTGCCAGAAGATTCTCCAGTCACTGCCTCCTCTCCGTCCACCTGAAGGAAGCCTCTTTTCCCTTCCCTACAAAAAAAACCCCGGGGGGTTTGCATCAGAAGGGCAGGGAGTCCGCACTGTTGACCGAAAACTCACTCTCCTAAACCCCAACCAGCCATCTCTTCTCACCGGACAGCGGTCACTCGATGCCACTCTCCATCATCCACAGGGTCTTCAGAGCGGATGTTGACCTCTCCGCTTCCCAGTTGGTAACTGTGGAAGACGTGTTGGTCAGTCTGGAAAGGCAGCCCATCAGCCAGATTGCCCTAGCAGGGGCAGCCCAACCGGCAGTGCGGCCTGACTCACCTGAACAGCAGATGCCCGTCCTTTAGCCCGAGGCTAATGAAGTCCTTCCCTTTGGCTGGTTCCCCTTCCTCCTGTGTGTGTGTAAGAGAAAGGGCAGTGTGATGCCATCATCTCAGCCTTCTCCTGCAACCCTACAACCGCCTCCTGGCAACACTGGGGAGCCACTCCCATGCACTGCTCCCCTCACATGCTTTGAGCACCTGTTCAGAGCTCCACCAGCCCAACCATGCAAGCAGTACAATACCTGGATAGCAACATGCTGCAGGGGACCGGGCTCTCCCGTGGCCTGGAAAGACAAAGGGACAAGCAGAAGCCACACACACGTTTCAGCAAGGCCATGCAACGGGTGCAGCATCTGCAGCCACCGTCATGCAACTCATGCGAGAGACAGCCAAGCACCCGGTTGCGGTTTCTCAGCTCAGCAAGTGAAGGCAGAGGCCCTTCCCTCCCACTAAACCCCTCTTTTCAGAATGGCTGTCCACAGTCCAGATGTTCTGGCCAGCACTGAGCGGAGTCAAGACCTCATCGGTTGTCCAGGGGAGGGCCTGTCACCACTGGGCTGCTTTTAAGCGAGGAGCTCACCCCAACCCACCTGGCTTCGCTCAAACTACCTTCCCAAGGCCACTCCCCATGGGGTCGACGGACTGCCCTCTGCCCCAAGTCCCTCCCGTGCCCGCCATCTCTTGGCCACTCACCACTCCCTGCCAGAAGAGCAGCCCATTTGCAGAGGTGGTGCGCACTTCCAACTCGATGGTCTCTGGCGACTCCGGAAGGCTGTGAGAAAGGTGGCCCCCAATTAGAAACACCAATTCCCCCCTCCCCGCTATAGGGGGAAATGCCCCGTTTTGCTGACCTACCATTTCTCCCGTTTGCCCAAAACTGCCCAGTAGACCATCCAAATACAGGGTTTATTTTCTGCAATGGCTTCACCTCCCCACCCCATTGAACCTCCCTTTCTCTACCATGGACTACAATGTCCCTCCCTCGATCATCTGAGGGCCTCTTGTGTCTCTAGAAGTGGGGCCCAGTGTCAGTGGGCCCCTTCAGAAGCGTCTTTTCCCAGCACCAACCGCAGTGCCCTTCAAGAATGGGAGGGCGTGGGCAGCACCCTAACACACACGGTATTCAGCCACACACACTCTCACCTCCTGGGGAAAGCATGTCTCGGCAGGGCCACATAGCCCCCATTGCAGAAATAGGCCCCGTAATGTCCATGAGCATCTGTCAGAGGGAAAAAGAGCAACTGAGTCAGAGGCGATATTCTGCCGGTTCACATCAGTTCGCCTGAACCGCTAGTGGAAATCGTGGGTGGCCCTGCCCATCCGCCCAAGCTCTATGGCATCCCATTTAGGCCCTTTTTTTAGCCCAAAGCATGCGCACTAACATTTGCGAACCAGCAGGGAAGGTAAGTGAATACCACCCCTGATCTGAGTCAGCTGAACCAGCAACAGGTAAGAAAACCAGAGAGGGGAGGGGTCCAAAGAGGGTCAGGCTTACCATTTCCTCCGCTGCCTTCTGGCCATTCGGCTTTCAGCTGGTGTTGCAGTTCATCTACAGGACAAAGGGAGAGGCTCACGTCAAGCAGGGTCCTACGGAAGCTCCTCTCCCTCCCAAAGCCATGCTGGGTCAGCAGAGACCCTCAGAGCTGGTTAAAGCAGCCACTTCATACTTGGGATGTGCCTGCCCCCGATGCTCACCGTGTTCACAGTACAGCCCTGAGAAGCCCTGGCGGCAGAGACAGGCGGTGCCTTTGCAGACCCCCCCATTAAGGCAGGGATGATGGAGCTGACAGTGGGCCTCGGGCACCTCGCAGCGTTCCCCTGCGGGCAGAGAGAAGTTCCAGTGAGCACCAGATGGAGCAGAGGCAGGTGGGTGGATACCCCACCGAGAGCTTCCCGCTGGTCTTCTGCCTCACCCGTGAAGCCGTCTGGACACAGGCACTGGAACTCGTACTCCCCCGTGATCAAGCACTGGCCGCTGTGCTGGCAAGGCCTGCGGTCGCAAGGGGAGCTGTCGATGCACTGCCCGATGCTGCGACTCTCCAGGAAGCTGTAGGAAATGTCCACCTTCTTCCCGTTGACCGAAACCTGGAAGGGGAGAACTAGAAATAGCATCCCAGGCTACTCATAAGAGGAGAATGCTTGGCGGGTGCAAACCTCTGCTTGCAAGGCATGCCCTTCCTGTTTCTGGGGTTCCGAGGAAGGAGGGGAAGGGATGGATGCTGCCACCTCGACTGGCTGAGCAAAGGAGGTGGGTGCTTCCCTGCCCGCTAATGGTTCACCTCTCCGATGCACCCATGGAAGTGGCTGGAGATGTTGGCGGCTGCTGGGAGCTTAATTGTGTCCTCCACCCCTCCAAGGTAGAGAGAAGTGCGCAGGTTGAGGCCTTGGCTCTTCCCGGGGGATGACCTCTTGACAGGCCGCTCCTCATCCACCTGCAAGGTGCTATCTTTGTTCAGGCGCTCGGCCGCCACCTTGTGCCACTGCCCCAGGGCCAGGGGCTTGTGGCTCCGGAGCACGGCGGTACCTGTGAAGAAAGACCAGCTTGGTGAGTCCGGAGGGGCTGAAGGCGGCCAAAGAGGGAGGGGGACAGGTGGCAGTAGGGATCCTACCTGAGCCCAGCTCGTAGCGGAACTCCAAGTGCCCATTGGCCATGTTGAGCGAGACGAAATCAGCCACGGGGGTCCCGTCGCCCCCGTTGAACAGGACGAGGCCGTTGGGGGAGAGCGGCTTGATTTCGATCTCCAGCCGCAGCTCGTAGGGGTTTCTGGTGAGGGTCGGGTACGAGATGAAAGCATCTCCACCCAGGAAGAGGGGGGTGGTCACCGTGAGGCCTGCAGAAGGAGAAGGGCAGGGGGTCACCTTGGCCTCTGTTGGCTTCCTCGTCAGCAGGGCTGAGCCTGTGCCTCACTCACCCGCCATGCACTTCTTTCCGTGTCGTCCCAAGAGGCAACGGCAGGTGTAGCCCTCCCCGGAGGCTTGGTTCACGCAGGTGGCATCGGGCCCACAGGCCTCTGTGGGGAGAAGGCGGAAGTTCCGCTCAAAGGCTTTCAGGCTTGGCAAAGTCCCAGCTCTACTCCGGGGCAAATGCCCCAGTTCCTGGCACATGAGGTTAGATAGAGGAGAGAATCGAGGGGGGGGGGCAGGGGTCTTACCTGGATGGCAGCGCAGGGCCTGAGGGTGCTCGCAGTTGCTGCCAGCGAACCCCTGGGGACACTCACATACGTAGCTGCTGCTCTCCGAGTCTCTGCAGACTCCTCCGTTCTAGCCAGATAGAGGGGAGGGAGGGAAGGCAGTGATGCAGTTAAAGTCCCTGGCTCACAATTGCTCCGGGCACCCTGTGGGCACCATCTTTTTAAAAAAATAAAAATAACAAATCAATGCATGAACAGTGTGGCACCTGGGCACCATACATTCCAGCACAAACAAAACGGATCAGATGAAACATTATTATTGCATTCAATCAACTTATAAAATTCCCATAACAATACACATCCATATTAGATTACCATCTATCATTATTCAATTGTACTTCTCATTATAACTTTCATTTTATCAAATAAAAATGTAATACATTAATATTCCCTTTATTTCTATCTCTGGTTCCCCTTGCACATATCTGCTAATCGTTTCCGACTCTAGGGGGCAGTGCTCATCTCCGCTTCTAAACCAAAGAACCAACGCATGACTAAACTCTGTTATCTTCCCACCAAAAGTGGTTCCTATTTTTCTACTTGCATTTTTACGTGCTTTTCAACTGCTAGGTTGGCAGAAGCTGGGACAAGTCACAGGAGCTCGCTCCGTTATGTGGCGCTAGGGATTCGAACCGCCGAACTTCCGACCTTTCTGATCGACAAGCTCAGCATCTTAGCCCCTGAGCCACCGTGTCCCTTTTTTTAAATCTCTTACTCTAGTTTTTAATCATATCGCCCTACTTTAAGAAGCCTTTTCTTTCTTTTCTGTCTAACTTCTAATCATGTCACCTGCCTGCAAAAAGAGAAAGAGAGAAAAAGAATAGAGAGGGAGAGATAAAAAAAAAATACAATTCAAAACAGCAACCGAGAATAGGAATCATCCATCCATAGTCTCTTGCCTGCTTTGTACTTTAATTGCTATACTTTAAATAGAGAGGGGTAGAAGGAAAAGCAAGTCAAACCAACAATAAAAAAGGGATCATTTACTCATTGTCTCTTGCCCGCTTCGATACTTCAATTGCTATGCTTTTTGACTTGTCTCCCACATTCCTCTCTTAAATCATCTGTATCTATTTCTTGGATGTCCTGTGGGCACCGTCTTTGAGGTCACCAGGATATCGGCTCCCTCCCCCAAAAATTATGAGCAGAGGGCTACCTGACATGGTTGGTCTTGGCAGGTGGGGCAGTTGGAGACTCCGTGGGCTTGCAGGTCAAAATCTTTGAAGATCACCTCTTTCCCTTGGATGATGAGTTGGTGCACACATCCTGCAGGGGGCGGCAGCGAAGCAGGCACAATTAGAAGTTCTCGGTGCTTGGCACGACCAGACCCACAAGCCTAGCCATGTGTGACCCAGCATCAGGAGAAGGAGAGCACAGTCTGAGATCCCTGGGCCAAGCACACAGCCTGTCTTCCCTTACTAGACTAAGATCCGTGGTGGCATAGTGGTTAGAAAGCAGTATTGCAGACTAATTCTGCCGACTGCTAGCAGTTTCGATCCTGACCTGCTTAAGGTTGACTCAGCCTTCCATCCTCCTGAGGTCAGTAAAATGAGGACCCAGATTGTTAGGGGCAATAGGCTGACACTGTAAACCGCTTAGAGAGGGCTGTAAAGCACTGTGAAGCAATATGTGCTCTTCCTTTCTTCCTTCCTTTCTTCCTTCCTTCCTTCCTTCCTTCCTTCCTTCCTTCCTTCCTTCCTTCTTTCCCAGTGGTTAAAATGCAGTATTGCAGGCTAACTCTGCTGACTGTCAGCAGTTAAATCCTGACCGGCTCAAGGTTGACTCAGCATTCCGTCCTTCTGAGGTTAAATGAGGACCCAGATTGTTGGGGGCAAGAGGCTCATTCTGTAAACCCCTTAGAGAGGACTATAAAGCACTGTAAAGTGGTATGGAAGTCTGTGGTATTCCTTTCTTCCCTCCCAGTGGTTAGAATGCAGTATTACAGGCTAACTCTGCCAACTGCCAGAAGTTCAATCCTGACTGGCTCAAGGTTGACTCAGTACTGCAGGGTACTTCTGCTGGTTGTCAGCTGCCTGCAATTTGGCAGTTCGAATCTCACCAGGCTCAAGGTTGACTCAGCCTTCCGTCCTTCTGAGGTTGGTAAAATGAGGACCCAGATTGTTGGGGGCAAGAGGCTGATTCTGTAAACCACTTAAAGAGGGATATAAAGCACTGTAAAGCGGTATATAAGTGCTATTGCTAGACTGAGCCACCACGGATCTAAGTCTAGTAAGGGAAGACAGGCTGTGGGCTTGGCCCTAGCAGGAGAGGCTGAGTAAACCTTCTCCAGGTTAGCAAATCTGGTTTAAAGTCCACCATTCTGACCGGTTCCCCACCTGCTCTATCCATCCATCCGTCCATCCTGGGACAGACCCATCGCACGCCCTCATCTCACCTACAAATCCACTGCTGAGACCGGTTTTTGCGATGGCTGCATAATTGGGGTACCCGCCCAGGTAGAGCTCCTCGTTGAGATCCAGGCCTTGAAACCTGCCCTGGAGTGACACACAAGACGAAAACCTTGGTATGAAAAGGGCCGGAAGACAGGCCCACAGGTGACACCCCCCCCCGCTCCTTCACCGTGGGAGTTTTCCGGGACCTGCTAACCGAAGGAGCAAAGCTTGGTCCACATAAGCAGCTTAGCTGGCATTCACCATCCAGCTCCTGCCTGCCTCAGTTTCCCAGAGAGAGAGGAGAGACAAAGGCCTCCTGCTCTTCCAGGGGAAGGGAAGCTCCGTCGGGGAATGGGTTGCGGCACGAGTGTTGCAGCGCACAAGGAGTCTTCCTCCGGAGCCACGGGCCCCCTCTCCATCCCTGCCCAGGTCTCAAGAGAAAGACACGTTCCCCCCCTCTTCCTTCAGCCAGGGATCACCTGGGAGCTGCCGTTCACAGGGGGGTGACCGTCCACCACCAGGGATCCCTGAGTCAGGTTGCGGTAGAGGCGGACGGTGTGGAACTCGCCCAGGTTGAGGATCGAAGGGTGTCGGATGGTGGCCATGCCGGAACCGGCATCGAACCTGTCATGGCAAGATGGAGGGAGGGGCAGCTTCAGATGCCCACCCCTGGCTGGTCAGCGCTCTAACACCTCTTTCTTGAGGGGCTGCACCATCAGCTCCACACCCCCCAAAATCATTACCCAGCTCCAGAAATCTTTGGCAAAGCAGGGGTGAAATGCTATCGGTTCGGACCAGTTCACCCAAACCGCTAGTGAAAATGCTACCTGTTCGCCTGTACCAGTAGTAAAAAAAAAATGCTACCAGTTTGGGCGAACCGATTTTTCCAACGATCAGCTGTGACACACAATTTTTATAATCTAATCTAACTAATCTAATTCGCATGGCACTGCGGATTCCCGCCACCCCTCGCTGTTCACTTTCCTTTGCAGGTGCACTCGGTAGCAGACTCTGCCCACCTTCCTGGACATCATTTTGACGCTCTGTGCATGCACGTGACCCAACAAAAGGGCGAACGACAAAACCGCGCCCGACTAAACCGCGTCGCTGACGTCATCAACGCAGCGACAACAGCCAGTGCGGAGAAAGAAGGGCGCTTTAAATAGCGCGTCGAAAGAAAGCCGATTTAACAAGGTAAGGGTTAGCTTTAGGGTTAGGTTTAGGGTTAGGTTTAGGGTTAGAGTTAAGGGTTAGGGTTAGGTTAAGGGTTAGGTTTAGGGTTAGGTTTAGGGTTAGATTAAGGGTTAGGTTTAGAGTTAGGTTTAGGGTTAGGTTTAGGGTTAGGGGTTAAGTTTAGGTTTAGGGTTTACAGCGTGCTTCTGTCTCTGCGCTGTTGTCGCCCTGTTGATGACGTTAGCGACGCGGTTTAGTCGGGCGCGGTTTTGTCGTTCGCCCTTTTGTCGGTGAACTCTGCATGCATGGAGCGTGCGCTCCCATTGCTACCGAACCAGTAGCAAAGGTACCATATTTTTCAGAGTATAAGATGCACCTTCCCCTCCAAAAAAGAGGGTGAACATTTGGATGCGTCTTAGACACTGAATGTAGCCCCACCCACCCACCGGCCCCCACCCTTTGGCCTCT